CAAAGACAAATACCCCTCCAGACTAACCCTAGTCCCCAAAGCCGGCAAGCCACAACACCATGAATTCCTTAGGGTGGTGCCAGTCTCATCTTCTTAAACTTCCCACGCTCCTGTTGGGGGCTAAGGAAACGCTTATCTCCCTGAGTGTGGCCTTCATAACAACATTCCATCACAGGCCCACACTGTCAGGGCTGCCTGGATCTCAGTAGGTAAGCTATTTGAAACAGCAGGCACTGAGGCAGAAGGTGTGCTTCTTTGGTCTGCTGGTGACACTGTTTCATAGAGGGGACTTGAAGCATGTCCACCCTGCCAGATCCCATGGGACAGGGAAAGGATCAGAAACAGGCAGTCCAGCAAGTAATCTAGCCCGGTCCCATGAATGGCTGAAAGTAGTACCCAGGACCTTGAATTGCACCTGGAACTTTACAGGAAGCCAGAGCAGTTTGTGGAACAGTAGTGTTACATGGACGTGCTATGGTGCACCCATAACTTCTGCACTACCACTTTTTGGACCAACTGCAGCCTCTAGATGTTCTTTAATGTCTGCACTACATTGTAATGGTCTAACTGCACACTGCATTGTAATGGTCTAACCAGGAGATGGCCTAAGGATGAGTGACAGTGAGCAGGGCCTCCCAACCTAGGAATGGGAACAATTGGTGCATAAGATAGATTTGCATCTTGGTCATAGGTGCCACTTGCTCTTCCAGCAGAAGTCAGGAGTCCAAAGGACCCCCAAGTTGCACAACAGTTGTGTTTGGGCGAGTCGCACCTCATTCAGAACTAAAGATGGAAGGTCCCCAGAATAGAACACCCCAAGCCAATGCCACTCAGTCTGTAAATTATGGGATCTGATGTCCAATATACCTGGAAGACTGATGGAAGCCCATGCAGAATCATCAAATTCTAAATTAAAGATACAGGTCTGTATCTTTTATCTGTGCTTGATAAAAAAAATAAACTTAAATCATTTATTTACTGATTTTTGACAGATTTCTAGGCCAAACAACTCCGGGCAGCTTCACAAGATTAAAAGAAACAACATTATATAAAAAGAAAAAACAGTATTATATAAAAACACAGCAGTTGTCTGATGGAACAATGTAACATATTTCTACATCACCCCACCCACCCCCTGCAGTAAAAAGGGGCCGCCTGAAACAACCCAAGGCCTGGGTGGGGGACAGATTTTTGGATATGGCTTGAAGGCAGGTAAAGCAGGAGACTACAGATCCGAGGGGGATGCTGTGCCAAAGGGCAGGGGCAGAGACAGAAAAGTTCAGACAATTACAGTTGCTCTTGGTTTACAGTAAGGGAAAACCCACCCATTCCCATATGACTAATTCCATTAACAAATGCTGTTCAGTCATTTCTCCTGAAATTAAGCCAAAATGTATCATTTAATCCTTTAGATCTGGGATGCCCACCATGGCTTCTAAAGATGCTAATATGCCTGCAAAGACCTCCTGCTCCATGCCCCACCTGATATTTAATTTAAAAACACACAATATAAATTAAAAGAATGTGAAGCTGTCATGTTGCAAAAGAAAGCGCTAGCTGGGCTCCAGCATCATGTTTATATCCCGGAATCCCTTTGGGCCCAAATAGCATTTCATAAGCTTTCTTAGGAAGCACCTGCACCCTGGTGCTTTGGAAGGAAGTCTACCCAATGGTTCAGAAACCGGATGGAAGGAAGTAGGGAGAAATCTGGGGAGGCAAAGCTAGAAAAAGACAGCATTGGAGCATTCCGGTAAATCAGTTCTTTCTAACTACAGGTAGTCCTTGCTTAACGATGGTCATTGGGACCAGAATTTCCATCACTAAGTGATGCAGTCATAAAGTGCAATGTCATGTGACTGCATTGCTTAGCAACAGCAATACCAGCAGTCCCCACTGCTGTTGTTAAGCAAAACTCATGGGTCATTAACTGAGGACCTCATGTGACTGACTTGCGACTTCCTGCCAGCTTCCCACAAGCAAAGTCAATGGGGAAGTCAGCTGGAAGTTGCAAGTCCCAGGCAGCTTCAAAGCAGGCCAGAGGGTAGGTGAGTACTATGGAATGAGGTTGGGGGATTGCTGTGGTGAATGCATGCAGGCTGGGGAGGGGGTGCTGCAGCGTGAGCGCACTATGGAGTACAAGATCCCTGAGATCTTGTACTCCATAGCAGGACTTCTCGGAAGACAAAGAGGCAGGAGCACCTTGCAACCTTCCCTGCCAGCTTTCCCATTGACTTCGTTTGTGGGAAGCTGGCAGGGGAGGTTGCAAATGGTGATCACATGATCATGGGACGCTGCAACCATGTAAGTGTGACTCGATTGCCAATTGCCTGGATTGCAATCACATGACTGCGGGGTGGTGCGACAGCCAGAACTTCGAAGACCAGTCATAAGTACCACTTGTTCAGTGCTGTTGCAACTTCAAGCAATTGCTGAATGAGTGGTCATTAACCAAGGACTACCTGTAGTTATATCCTTCACAACTGCTATTCTGTGAAGAGCCTGCCCCCAAAACATGTTCTGAAGTCTCCGCACTAGGTTAGGGTCCCCCTATACTAACTCTACTCCTACCCTCCTGGCAAGCTCTTATTTTGATATAGCAAGGACTGAGTTTTGCTAAAAAAAAAATACCTAGGAACCTTGCTCAGAAGCTCAATTATAGAAAGGTACATTTGAAACCTGTGAAAGATCAAAGTAATCAATAAATAGGACTTTCCAGAGCATAAAGCATTCCATGTGGATGATCTAGTGGTAGTCATTATTATCATCCGGCAAAGTAAGCATGTATTCTCATCCTCAAAATCTCCAACAGGGTACTGAGACAGAAAGAGTGGCTTGGGACCATCTAGTACATTCATAGTACGCATTTGAAATGTCAGCAATATCCTGACAGATAGTCCAGTCCTTTAGCACTGCATTGCATCTGCTCTTTCTATTCTTAAAGCATTTCATTGCTGAGGTCAGAACGTGATCCCTGAGCAGCAACTGAATTTCTACAGGCCTTTTATTTCTATTCTCTGCACTTTAATTCTCCGAGCACTGAGGTTTCTAAGATCCAGCACTTACCCTTGCAAGCTTCAGAGAAAATTTCAGCATTCACCTTGGCTCAAACTGAGTGCCTCTATTTTTACATACTCCCAATTACCATTTTTCACAGTCAACAGAAGGTAAGTCCTGATTCCCAAATATTTTTTCTCTGTATAGTAGACTCTAGGCGCTGAGAACAACCACCACAGTAAGAAAGTATTGACCACACTGTCAAGACAGTAAACCCCTTGCTTTAACCAAATTGGCCCACCTCAGTCTAACAATCACAGAAGCCCCAAGCTTATCTCCATGTAAGCAGAACTGATGAGAATTGAGGACAGGTGTGAATCACTATGGCCTGCATGCACTTCCTGGTTACCAACTTCTTTTAAAAAAACTTATTTCATTTAGTAGAAAGATTGGAAAGAGTTAACTGTCAGTCCAATCCATAATTTAAAGCCCACTTTCAGATCTGCCAAACGCATTACGCTGGAGTCCTTTTCCATGGTCTCCCTATCCTCTGGAATAATAAC